GTAGGACTCCACAGGCAGTTTTCAACTTTTGGTGCTTCCCTACAAGATGGCAAGAGCCATCAGTGAAAAGAGCGAATTGTTTCTCAGTCTCTGGTAGATAATCATATGGTGGAGCTTCTTGAACCCGTCTCATCACTTCTTGTGGTGGCATTCCAACGTGGGTGCCTTCTGGCCAGTTTGTAATTGCTTCTACAATACCTGGTCATTTAGGCCGTCCTATTCAAGCTCACTGGGTAATTAAAGCAGTCCATTTACTCCAAGTTGCATCAGTGGCATGATGGATAGGACAAAGGTTATTCTGTAACATGAAGCTCAGTACTGGTCATCTGGGCACCAGGGAGGAGCTGCGCTTCAGTGCCGATCACTTCCAAATCAGCTCTAACTCCTTCATATGCTGCAAGTATGTCCTTTTCAGTTGTCATGTAGTTGGCCTCGGAAACTCTGTAGATCTGGCTTCAAAATCCCAAGGGTCGTCCTTGAGTCTCCCTAGTGCTTTCTGCCAGAGGCTCCAGCTAGGACCGTTGTACCCGGCTGCAGTGTAGAGCACATTTTTGATGTCTGGCCCTGTTTGAACTGGTCCAAGGGCCACTGCCTGCACAATCTCCTTTTTGAACTGCTCAAAAGGTTTCTGTTGGTCAGGACCTCATTTAAAGTCACTCTTGTTTTGGGTCACCGCATAGAGAGGTTTCACAATTTCACGGTAATCTGGAATATGCATTCTCCAGAAACAAACAGCCCCTAAAAAGGTTTGAGTGTCCTTTTTAGTAGATGGTGGGGCCATACTGTTAATTTGTTAATCACGTCCATTGGGATCTGGCGATGTCCATCTTGCCACCTGATTCCCAGGAACTGAATCTCTCATGAAGGTCCCTTGACCCTGCTTCTTTTTACAGCAAAATCAGCATCCAGAAGAATGTGGATGATATTTTTACCTTTCGCGAAGACTTCTTCTGGCGTATCACCCCACACAATGATGTTGTCGATGTACTGCAGGTGTTCTGGAGCTCCACCCTTTTCCAGTGCAGCGTGGATCGGTCCATGGCAAATGGTGGAGCTGTGTTTCCACCCCTGGGGCAGTCGATTCCAGGTGTACTGGACTCCCCTCCAGGTGAAAGCAAACTGTGGCCTGCACTCTGGTGCTAGAGGAATGGAGAAAAATCACCAAGGCTGGAAAAGACCTTTAAGATCATCAAGCCCAGCCTATGACCAACACCACCACATCGGCTAGACCATGGCACTAAGTGCCACATCCAGCCTTTCCTTGAACACATCCAGGGATGGTGCCTCCACCACTTCCCTGGAAAGTCCATTCCACAGTCTAATCAACCTCTCCGTGAAGAAATGCTTCCTAATGTGCAACCTAAACCTCCCCTGGAGCAGCTTGAGGTTATGCTCTCTTGTCTTGTTGCTAGTTTCCTGGAAAAAGAGCCCAGCCCCCACCTGAGTACAACCCACCCACCTTTCATGTAGTTGCAGAGAGTGATAATGTCCCCCCTGAATCTCCTCTTCTCCAGGCTGAACAACACCACCTCCCTCAGTCTATAAGACTTTCCCTCTAGTCCCTTCACCAGCCTTGTTGCTCTCCTCTGGACCTGCTCCAGCACCTCAATATCCTTCTTGAAGTGAGGGGCCCAGAACTGTACACAGTACTCGAGGTGATGCCTCACCAGTGCTCTGCAGGGGAAGAATTACATCCCTAGTCCTGCTGGCCACACTATTTCTGATACAAGCCAGGATGACATTGGCCTTCTGGGCCACCTGGGCACACTGTTGGCTCATGTTCAACCGGTTGTCAACCAGTACTCCCAGGTCCCTGTCTGCTGGGCTGCTCTCCAGCCACTCTTCCCCCAGTCTGTAGCATTGCCTGGGGTTATTGTGGCCAAGTGCAGGACCTGCACTTGGTCTTGTTGAATTTCATGCCATTGGCCTCAGCCCATCAACCCAGCCTGTCCAGGTCCTCCTGCAGCTTCTTCCTACCCTGCGGCAAATTGACGCTCCTCCCCCAAGCTTGGTGTAATGTGCAAACTTACTGAGGGTGGACTCAATCCCCACATCCAGGTCATCAATAAGGATGTTGAATAGGACTAGGCCCAGTACTGATCCCTGAGGGACACCACTGGTCACCAGACACCAGCTGGATGCAGGTCCATTCACCATCACTCTCTGGGCCTGGTCATCCAACCAGTTTTTAACCCAGTGAAGGGTGCACCTGTCCAAGCTGTGGATTGCTAGCTTCTCCCGGAGGATGCTGTGGGAGACTGCATCAAAGGCCTTGCTGAAGTCAAGGTAGACCACATCCACAGCCTTCCCCTCATCCAATAGGTGGGTCACCCAGTCATAGAAGGAGATGAGATTAGTCAGGCAGGACCTTCCTTTCCTAAACTCATGTTGGCTGGACTTGATCCCCAGGTTGTCTTCTACATGCCACTTGATGGCACTCAGGGTTATCTGCTCCATTATCTTGCCAGGCACCGTGGTCAGGCTGACAGGCCTATAGTTCCCCGGATCCTCCTTCCAGCCCTTCTTGTGGATGGGCATCACATTGGCCAACCTCCAGTCATCTGGGACCTCCCCAGTCAGCCAGGACTGGTAATTGATTGAGAGTGGCTTAACCAGTTATTCCGACAGCTCCCTCAGCACCCTAGGATGAATCCCATACAGACCCATGAACTTGTTTGGATCTAAGTGGCACAGCAGGTCCCTAACTACTTCCTCATGAACTACAGGAGGGAGATTCTGCTCCCCATCCCTGTCTACCAACTCAGGAGCCCAGTTGTCCTGAGGGTAGCAATTATTTTTGTTAAAGACTGAGGCAAAGAAGGTGTTAAGCACCTCCGCCTTTTCCTTGTCCTCTGTTACTAAGTTTCCCCCCCTCATTCAATAAGGAATGAAAATTTTCCCTGACCCTCCTTCTGTTATTAATGTATTTATAAAAGCATTTTTTTATTATCCTTTACAGAGATGGCTAGTTTAAGTTCTAGCTGATCTTTTGCATCTCTAATTC